GGTTGATGAGTTATAGCCGTTCAAAGGTAACCAATCACACTTGCGTTTCTTTTGTGGGCCACTGTATATTTAGGATTATAATCAAATATACAATATTTAAATATTTCTTTATTACTTAATAATTTTTTAACAGTGTTAAAAATTGATCAGTAATGTAATATATATTCAATTTAGTTGTATTCTATCACAACTATTTTTTATAAAGAATATGAGGAATTTGCATTGAATTCAGTAATAATCGTGCTGATTTAATATTCAATGGTAAAGCTACAGTTAGATCCATATGAAATTTATCAAATAATTTAATAATATTATTTGCTACAGAATCAGAAAGTTTATGTTTTGTAACTAACTATATAAATGCTTCATATACAGAATTTGGAAATGTTAAAGTTGAATTACTATCTGTTTCTTGTACTTTTTGTGCTAACCTGATATTTATAATAATGCTATTCTGAAATTCATAATCTTTACTCATATTTGATAAAATTTCACTTAGACTTTCATTTTTATCATTTGAATTTTCATTTGAATTTATCTCACTTAAATTTTTTAAACTACTATTATATTCACTATTTAAATTTTCATATGAACTATGATCGTTATCTGAATTATTTAATTTTTATCTAAACTATGATTATCATCTGAATCGTTACAATCCTTATTAAGCCATTCATTACTTGAATTATCAATGTTATTTCCATATATATCATTATCATTCTGTAATTAACAAATAAAATTAATGTATGTCAATTATTATAATTGATTATTTACAATATCCATTGAAATTACTGTAATCTCATAAACTTTTTCTTGCTAGTAATCATTTAATATAACTTAATTGTTATTTAGAATTTCCATAAAATACCTATATTCTTGTAAAGTATTTATAGTAGTATTTTCTTTACGTAAAAGTTCTGTTTCGTCTAAATATATTTGATTGTGATATAATCAAAGATGATTTTGATAGGAGCTATATTTATTAAATGACTTTGGATAATATTTACATTGAAATTAACGAGTAGTTTTATCCTGAAACATAGTTTATGGTATGATATAATGAACTTAGTTATATTTACTTCAATTTATGAAATTTTAAATAATAATAATATGATACAATATGATTAAAAATTATTTTATATATTTATTTGACATTAATTTGATTTATTAATTTTACTAATCATTAAATTCAGATATAAATAATGTCACATTAATGATTATATATCAAAAGATAATTTAGATTTAAAGTCATCAGGAAGTCACATTCTATTTTTTTTTCAAATCTTTTAAATTTAGATATTAAATTATTTTTTAGTAATAAAATGTTATCTAAAACTAATAATCCTCTTACCGCTTTTACTTTAAGAAAATTACGTCTACATTCTATTTAGGGTTATTAAAGTCTGAGTTCTGGACCACCAGACTCTGGTCCTATATAAGGGTCCTGTCAGAACCTGGTCCTAAATTTAAGATTCAGTCCTAAATTAGTTTGACCAATAAAATTCATTTATATTTTATTAATGTATTTCAACCGCAGCAACCACAGAAATTATTTAGATTTGACGAAACCAATAAAATTATAACAAATCTTATGTATTACATTACGAAATTTG